GGGGGGAAACCCCGCGAAGGGCTCGAAGGGCTCCGCAAGAGCCTGCTGACCACACGATTCGTCACTGAATTTTTAATGCTGTCACAAAAGTTGATAAACCGAAATTGTAATATTCTGTAGCTGGTGTGCCTGAACTTCAGTTGCAGCCGGGTGTTAACTTTTTTACTTCTTTCTCGTAGTGATCCTATGAATTCCAAAATGAAACAGAAACAGAATGCAGAAAAAGCATCAGGATCTTTGCAGGTATAGGCTTTGAAGTCTTGAAACAAGAATATGGGAGCAGATAAGGGATAGAAAATAGAAGATGAAATTTGTTAAAGAGTATTTCAAACAGAGAATTTGCTTTGTTCAGAGGTTTGTGTTCAGTTTTCTGGGAAATAGTCCTTCTGACACAAGTTTTATATCCACTGAAGGAATACAAAGGGATCTGTTGCAATGTGCTTCCACCTGGCTTATGTCCTGTTGACTTGAGTAACCCTCCTGCCAGGCAGTGTGGCTTAGGAACGCTCTGTCCTTATTGGGTATGTGTTCTTGTGACCACTTTTTTCCTCAACAAGTCCTTTTCAGTCTGACATTGAACTTGCTGACTTTCCATGTGATTGTTTTTTTTTAGGTGCTGGCTACCTGCCTTAGTTAAGTTACTAAATCAGTCTGGCTGCCAGGGGGTTGTAGAGTATATTCTGTTGTCTGCCCTTGATTGGATTAGCTTGTAAGAGTTAAATCATCTTGTCTCGAGCATACTTTAACTGAAGTATTCATGCAGGCAGTCCTGTTTCTAAAGAATTCATGAACCATAGTTGCTTTGCAGTCTGGAAATGCTTAAAGGATTGAGATTCTTTTTAAGAAGTGACTGATAATTTACTAAAGTTCATACGTGTTCCAGTCTTGTTACAAGATTCTTTTGTTAAACCTTTTAATGTAGGCTCTACTTGCAATTGCACAAATACCATTTAAAATAGATAGAGGTTAGTAGCCCTGTATCATGAGGGATAGAGTGATTGTAATGAAAATTTCTGGTATTAATGCAAATTACCAATTGGTGAGTTTGACTTATACAAATGGTAGTCTTGTCTTATAGTGACTCTAGGGTATAAATTCCTCAGTGTGGCTTTTTGTGCTTTCAGTGGGTTAACTCAAGTATTAGTCAATAATTTCTTGGCAGGCTATACTCAACTCTAACCTTCAATAGCAGCAAGCAGTGTCTGACATGGTGTGATTCTTGTTCCCACAGCAGTTAGTGTTTGTACTTTAGTGCAACAGTAGGGTAATTGGTGGCAGGAACTACCGTGGGAAAGGTGAACTCTTGTCATATGAAGTACACTGTGAGTTGGTAACTTTCTCACGCTGGTGTGGCATTGTATTCTCTCTATTCTTGCTTGGTTGTCTGCCATTGTTTGCTATCCCATGGTGGCGGTGTAGCCAACTCAATCAGAAAGTTTTAATGAAGGAAATGGATATTTATGCATGACAGGAAAGGTGATAAACATACTGTTTATACAAAACAATAGCCTGTCTGGATCGAAGCAAGGAAGCTTTAGGTCCACTTTAATGGATAATTGAAGGAACACATCTATTTAAATGAACACCTCTTGAGGGTGTGTTCACAGGTAATAAAAATAGGTTCTGCCTAAAGTAATGTGTGTGACTTTGCCAAGTAAACTTGCAATTGCAGTCACTTTTTTTCTCTTCTCTTGGAGTCTGATACTGCTGTTGTCAAATACAGCTTTGAGAGTTTCAGCTAAAGTTTACACGTGTCACTGCACTGTAATTGGCCTTGAAATCTAGTCAGAATATTTCTGCTATAAGACTTTTTCAAGTTTCTTGATGAAAGATAAGTTTTCTAAGAGGCAGGGACTGTGCATAGCTTCATGTGGTCAAGGTCCATCTCTACTACAAACGACTAAATTTCCTTCTTTGCATAAGCCTTAAAATAGACTGAAGTATCATCTTTTTGTCTTGGCAAGATGAACCATGAGTTACCTCAGTGGAAGCATGACAAACCTAAGTTTCAGTTCATGTAGAGAAGTGTCAATGGTCTGAAGCCATCTTTGTCTTTTTAGAAGTACCTCACAGATGCCACATGCAGTGCTGCCTCAAGAAGGACTCTTAAAATGATTCAGCCTTCAGCAACAGGTTGCCTAGTTGGCAGACGCAACGAGGTATGAATTGGAAGATAACCTGTAGATGTGTATTTATTTCTGCTCATAGTGAAATGCTTTTGAGCTTTTAACTCAAAACTAATATATTTGAAAAAACATGTAATCTGCTAACTAGTGTGACACAATTTCAGCTTACAATAATTTTAGTAATAATATTAAAAACTATCAACTTCCGAATAATTTGGGAAAATGTTTGAGACTTTTCTTGTGTTAAACCTATGGGTATCAAGGATGATGTCTGTAAACTAGAACTACAATGTGAAGAAACTGGAGCTTGTAAAGACTTACTTGCAGTCATTGGTGAGCAGACCTACAGACTTTGTATTGTTTAAAAAAAGCTGCGACATTACTCTAAAGTTAAACCTGCCTCTTATGCAGAAGAATTCTTCAGTCAAAAGGAAACTCTGGAATAACAAGTTCACCTCAAAGTCTTGTAAGGCTGAGGTGTCTGTGGACAAGGAGCAAGAAAATGAGACTATGAATGATACCATTCAAGCTGAAGATCTCATAAAAGGTATGTGATAATTCCTGAAATGTTTTCTTGTGCTTAAAATGCTATGCTCCTGTTGGAGTATAACTTGAAATATGGCTCCTTTGTCAGTTAGATAAGGACTTAGTGTTTTTATATAATGCCTAGCAGGAATTAGTGATACTTGTCCTCTGTAGTATGGTAAATACAGTAGCTATCTAATTCTTCAGAATGGTTCTCAGCTACCGGTTACCATAAACTCAGTGTGCAGCAGTGTTAAGAAGTCTTGTAGTTTGTTACTTTGGCTTAGCTACAAGCTTTTAAGTGAGTAATAATTAAGTTGAAATGAAAGTCTGTTTTGGCATACTGTGCTGCATGTGCCATTTCTCAGAACTGGTTTGAAAGTGTGTCAGGTTTAGCGGGAGACTGATTAAGCCTAATGGGTAAACAGTGACTTGGGAATAAGATTTCTGTCTTCCACAAAGTATGCTTCAAGATTGGCAGTTGTAACTGGGGCCATCATCTTGCAAAGCCTGCTGCCATGCTTGAGGCAGCTTCTTGAAGACTGCCTGTATAGCCATTAATACAGTGTAGGATGCCTGTTTTCTGTGAAATTGTGTCTCTAGCTATAAATTTACAACTAATCTCTGGGAAAGCTATACAGAGTGAGTTCTTACTATCACACTTAACACTTGTATACAGGTTAGATATCTTAACATCATCTCAAGAATTCAGTCTTAGCACAGACTTACTGTGGCTTCTTACTTCAGGAAGCCCTTCATCTCAATATTGGAAAGAAGTGGCTGAAGAAAGGAGGAAGGCTCTGTATGAAGTCCTTCAAGAAAATGAAAAGGTAGTTAGTGAAAGACAACTAATTTCTTTACCACTGGCTATTGTACTCTTGTTTTAATGTTTTGTTATTTGAACTCAGCTGCACAAAGAAATTGAACAGAAAGATGGTGAAATTGCCCGCCTGAAAGAAGAAAACGAAGAGCTAATGTCCCTTGCAGAACATGTGCATTATATGACCAGCATGATTGAGGTACTTGAATTTTCAATTGTGGAATGAAAAAGTGAGAAACCAGCAAAGATATTTTGAATGAATCACAATTTCTGTGTGTTCACACAACTCTTCATTTAAAATCACTAAGCTGTTTCCTGTGGGATTGTTCTGATCCAGAGATGTGAAGCCCCTTCTAGGGCATGAGTTTTTCCAGCTTAAAATCCACAGGAGTAATGAGAAAGTAGGTAACAGTGTGTTTTCTGAAGGGAAGATTCAGCCTATTGTCTTGACAGACTTTGCGTGTGTTAGAGATGGTGACATGGGAAGGAAGGGTTCATTTTCACTCTCCTGAGAACTTAAATTCAAGTGTTGAATAGATTGTATGAGGTTGCTGGTTAAATTGTTTACTGGCTGTGTCCTTTGAGGAACTAAGCTTGAAACAGGGTTATACAAAGTGGAGCATTGAGAGGGAGAAGGGAACACCTGCTCTTTTTAAAGTTAAGGTTTCACTGAGGAATTACCAGTTTCATGGCTGAAAAAGGGCTAATGCAGAAAGTCTGTAGGGTTCATGAACATGTAAATTTTGAAACAGCTTCTTCTGAGAATTCCTTGGGGACAGGTAGTTGTTTCACTGGTTCCATGAAAGCAGGAGTAGATTGTCTGTAACAGTCTCTGAATCTGTGATAGATATTTAGCCATGAAACCTTGATACTAAGATCTAGGTTGTTTTTGTAGGGATTGAGCTCCTAACTGGGGTACAAAGCTAAGAAGTAGACTTGATGAATCTGATTTTTAGTTGGTGCAATTATTTAGATCAGTCTTGAAAGACTCCTCTGTCTTGCTACACTTGAAATTTACACTTGAAATTTTTTTTGATATTCAGAGGGTGTTGCTTGTTAGATAAACCCACAGGTAGAAATTAAATGACTTAAGGACTTAAAAGGTCTAATGTTGGAAACTTCTTTGCAGTTCCTCAAAAGTTAAGTTCACTTATTAATTGTAAGCTGATCACTTCTGGGGCTTTAATGAGTCTTAAGTGATACATCAAACAACCAGAAGCCTCAAAAGCAGCCTCTTACAGTCCTGTTTTTCTGCCTTACATCAGGTTAGGTGAGGAACTTTTAGTTTAATCAACAAGTGCTGGAAACTGCAGGGTCTTTTAGTTTGTCTAGACAATGTAGCTTCATTCTCTGAAGAATTATGAACTTAATCTGTTGTATAGCAATTTTTCGAAAATTAAACTTACATAGTACTATAGTAGTATTTAACTTGGGAAGCTGCTTCCTGTACTTTGTGTTGCCTAAGATAAAACCTATCTTATTGAAGAACCTAAGGAAGACTTAACAGTCGACAAACTAGATGTGAGTTAGAGGTAGCAATTTGGGTTGAACTCCAGGTGTCTAAGATTTTTGACTGAGGAATGTTTTAATTATATCAACAATCTCTACATGAAGATAATTAGTTTGCTTAATTTGATATGCGCAGTCTTACCTCCCTGGCCATTAAGTAGAAAGAGTACTTAGTTCACACTGTTTATCTCCTTTTTTTCTAGAGGCTAACTGGGCAAGCATCTGATGATCTTGAGACACTGAAGAGTCTGGCTCTAGAGGAATCTGAACAAGAAAACAAAGAGCTTAACTGTGGAGATAATGCAGACAGCATTTCAGAAGAAGGGCCAGCACAAGTGTCATGTGGCTTGAGGGAGAGTATATCAGATCTTGCTTCAAAGGAAGTGAATAATTTGCAACTGGAACGACAACCTTAAATGTATGTGGCTTTTAATTGCAGAATTCCTCTTGAAAGGATATACTAAGACTTCTCAGGTATAGAAACTCTTGTGGAAGCAGTGCAGAAGTTGTTTTTTAACTGGAATTATGTAGCAGTGGGAATATATGGATACTGTGTAGAAAACTTACTACAGGCTGCACTTAGTTGCTTGTATAAAATGCAAATACTGTGTATTTCAAACTGTTGTGTAAATATCCTGTCAGTTGGTCTGATGTGATACATGAGAATTGATAAATAAATCTTTACCTTACCAAAACAGACTCTTACTGAGCAGGGAATGGGTAGTTCTAGGTTTGTAAGTAAGTTGTGACTACTGTAGGTGGAAGCTTTCAAGTTTTTTAGGGAGTGCCTGGACAGTTTTTAACTCCTTAGATTTACAGAATTCTAGAGAACAGTGATTTTGGTGGATAGGGAAAGCAAAATAAAACTTGTATGCTGTTGGTGAGGCTTCAGAAAGTCAAGAATGGGTAATAAGAGTCAAGCTCTAAAGCTTAGTTAGATTAATGCTTTTCAGGGGTTTTGAAATAATTTCCTCTGTCTCTTAAGGGAGCCTTTTCCAAGATGTATCAAGGAGAGCTTAATTAAGTACAAAGTATTAGACACTCTCTTTCAGAAATGTGTGTATTGACTTAAAAAGAAAAGGTGGGATGCTCTTGCTCCTGATAGGAACTGTACTGAAAATTAAATGGAGGCAAGGCAGCCTACACTTCAGAGCTATTCTGAAAGGAAACTCAATGTCTGTTTTCAAAGTCCTGTTCTGGTATTTACTGAGAGATGAGGCACTTTTTTTACCAAGATAGTAATGTTCTGAAAGGTTTACCGGCATAAAAAGCACTCTTTAAAACTTGAAACACTGTATCTGGCATCCAGGGCTGGGGCAGGGGAAGGAAATGCTTGCAGTTAAAAGCACTGAGGTACAAGAGGGGAGTAAGTTGAATACAAGTTTTCCAGCCCTGAGTGAACTTGGCCATTGTTTTGTAAGTAAACATCTTCTTTTAAAAGATGGTGGCCATTGCAATATCTTGTGAAGAGCTTAAAGTTGGCTGGCTTTCAGGAGGCAGAGATAATCAGAGGGAGTCTGTCTGGTTTATGGATCTATCAGGCGTTCCCAAAGTGGGTGCTTCAGAGTATGTGTAAACACAGCTGTAGACCCATCAGATTGGCACCTTTAGATTCCTTCCATATCTTACTTGTTCCCTGTGGGTGTCAGTAAGTTAACACATCCTTCAACTGATTTCAGTTGTGACATTCAGGGAATGTCAGAACCATTGTAGGAAGTAATGTTCCTCCTGGCTTCCATTTTGCCTTGAATCTGGTAACCACAGGATATGAGGCATTGTATTTTCCTGGGAACTTTGTAAACAAAATATTAAACCTTCCAATTTGTGCTCTAGAGGATGCTTAGACATAATTCTTTCCATCACAGTGCAGAAATGATGACAAAGGCATCACCTTTAACACGCGCTGATGCTGTGTTTAAGAAAAAAGAGACAACTGGATGCTGGATGAGTGCTTTATAAAGTAACCTTGGTTTTCTGTTCAAAAGAAATGGATAATACTGTGAAGTGACTTAGGAGAGGTTTATCTCAGATTCTAAGCAATTTTCATGTCAAATTCATTTTACTTCAATCATAGTAAATGAGGGAACATAAAATTTAACTTGTTACAGTAGCCTTTATGCAGTGCAATTTAGTTTGTTATTCATAGTTAACAGTCATTCTTCAGAGGTGTGGCTTTATTTATAAACATCAGGAATATTTTGCATTTGCAGAGACTGTAGAAGGGAAGAAAGCACTGTTGCATAATTAACTGGCCAGGCAGACCAATCCAGCTGAGACAGCAAGTGCAACTTTTCCACCATTTCACCTTCTGCTCTGTGAACTGCTCTAATACAAGTGCTGCTGTTAAAGAAGTGCCAGAAAGTAACAAATCCAGAATTTGCATGTGTTATCTGCTTCTGACTGGTCCTTATTTTCATGAATATGATTAAGAGTGTCTATTAGATTTAAATCTTGGGCTTTTTCTTGATTGAATTTATTTAAATAATGAAGACATGACAGTCTCTTGAGTAGCTGGATCCTTACTTCTATTGAAATATATTGTGTGCCAAATAAATGATTTAAGTTCTTTGTGTATGCTGATGAAAGTATTACAGCATTTGATGCACCTGTAATAAAAACTTTTTACATCAAAAAGACATGGGCCACTTAGTAATGCATATACTTGCACCAGGAATCTTCAAACCAAGGCTACTATGTTTTTTTTAAACTTCATTTTGTTAGCAGAGAGAATAATTTGCTGTATAAACTCTTGGAAAAAACACACTGCTGGAGAAGACTGGGTATGAGAGCTGAGTTGTGGTGTAGAACATGTTTACTCCTATCTGTCATGGATGTATTGGACCTTGATCAAATAATCTCCCATGCCTGTTAGAAATACTAATGTATCAAACCGTCAGAAGTTTTGTAATGCTGCATTAGTTGCTGTTTAAAAATGGTCTAAAAGGGTCATGTTTCAGTTATGGTCCTGAAAATTCCTGAGTATTTTTTAAAACATGCAGTAGAACTTACATGTAACAATCTTACATGGTAAGTATAGGAACTTTGTATGCATCTGTGAGAGGCTTGTCAAATGCATCTGTAGAGATTGTACAGACACTTGTGTAATTAGTTCTCTTACAACCACCTGACCTTTGACTTTTATTTAAGTGTATAGGGAAACTCCTGTTTAACACTGAAACATAGCTATGTAACAGCTGAAAATCACTGTCACTGAAGACAAATTTCATATCCAGCTAAATTACAGAGAACACTCTGTCTAGCAGGATAAAATCACCAGTTCTGGAACTTAACTGCAGAATGTGATTCTTGCCAAGAAGTCATAAATGCTTTTGTGCACTGACTTGACTAGCATGCTGACTCCTTTTCATTGCAGAGGCTGTGGCTGTGGTCTCATCTTTCACTGAAGTACCCTAAGGCTGCTCAGTAGTGCAATGCATCTCCTGCGTCCTAGCACTTCTCCTGTAAAATGTGTGTCCTAATAGGACAGAATTTCAGATATGTAAGACTGAAGTGTGGGGAGACAGGCTCTTTGCAGGTGTCAGATATTTTGAGATGGAGCAGCTGTGTAGGGACTAGCAGAAGCAAGTAAACTGGGGATGTGGATGGCTTGTGAGAGGAAGAACTTTTAATTGTTTTAGCAAAAGCTACAATTTCAGTGTAAGCACCCATTGTATTTAAGACAATGTGTGGAGAGGTGAGTTAGGCCCTAATAACTTCTTGGCTGGGCACCTGAGAGGACTTGGTGTTTGGCATTGAACTGCTGATGTCAAGGCCTGCAGCACTGTCATGTGTTGCAGCCTGTGTATAAGTAATGAAGTTGGTCATGGACTTTTTGCAAGGAAGCAAACTGCATATTCATTTACTTTTCCCTAAGGGCTATCTGAGGTTGTTTTCAGAACTGGATTTGAGATTTTGAGCAGAATGTTTGCAAATCTGCCAAGGCCGTGTGTTTCCAGTGCTCTGTTGTCCTTGAGACTGAATGGCATTGTTATCAACGTTTTCTTCAGCAGAAAATGTTTACTGTGTAATTTCTCTTTCCATTGTTGTGATAACATGAAGTAGTTCAGCAAATGATAATGGATTCAGAGAAACTTTAATTTGCTGCTGCTTTGTTGGTCTGCCAACAATTGCCTGTAATGAAACGTGGTCAGCTGTGTCCAAGGTCAAACCCTTGTGGATGACAGTATCTCTCGCCTCCTTGGTAGCACCAGCCATTTGGAGGGGGGTGCCATGGATCCTATCACCAGGGTAATTCCATTGCAAATCAGTAAAGCAGGGGTCCGTATTTAAGATCTGTAGTCCAGCAGTCCTATTGACTCCTAATTTTGAATGCTTAAAGTCAGCAAGAATCAGTATATGACAAGACTGCAGCATAGATTAAAGCTGTAGTAGATAGCTTTTCTGAAGGTACACCAGGTACAGGAGGAGTCTTACCGATAGCAGTGGGAAACTCTGGCGGGGTAGTAAAAGCCACCATAGTTCACAAAAAGCATGAAGTAAGGACAAGTCACCGACAAAACCAGCAGGCAAACCTCTTTCCAGACCACGCTTTTCCTGGTGAGCTCCCTCTCTCTTCAGTCTCCACTGCTGCTGAGTTCTTTTGGTACAGGAACTTTTTCTTAACGTACTTTTCTAGGTGGCCCAGACCTTTAAGTTTGTCAACCTGCTGCAGCCCTAAGAGGTTTTATAATTACTGCCTGCTGGTTCCTTCTTTGCTAATTGGTAAGTGTCTGTCTTGTTAGAGTCGCCTCTGTGTCTGGTTTTTCCTACTCCACAACGAAGAGCTCCTGTGTTAATGTGGTAGGAAAGGGCAGCACTGTCAGCTCTGCAACCGTAAAACGTGTAAGTTATGAGACAAGTATATGGTTTGTTCCTTTTCGTATGCCTTCTGGTTTTGGAAGCTTTAAGGTTCATTCACTTTTTCAAGGGTTTGTTACAGGATTTTGTTTGGGTTTGTTCTTAGTGTGATTTTTTTTTTTTCATGTGTTCTTATGAATCATGTTAGGACATGATTCTTTGTTTAATTTACTTTTGTAAAACAGTATTAATGCTGAAAGTGAAATTTAGCCTCTATACATCCATATGCCATGTTCAAGCTTGTCAGTCTTGTACCAGAATAGGAACTAAATTTGGTCTAACCGTTCCCACTAAAATTCCTGTGAATTTCCTCACTGACTTTATCAAGAGCAGGTTTTGCTCCTGTCTGGTTTGTATGAGCTGTATACCTGGTTTTTAGTGGTTGTAACAGTGTAGCAGATCAGCTTGAGGTTAATAAACTTCTCAAAGAGTGGATTTAAGCTACGAGATGAAAGTAGACACAAGTAGATACAAGCTCCATTTGACATGGCACCATGTGTGTGAGCAGCCCGGTGGGCGCTGCAGCTTTGGCTCCCTGCTCGATAGGCAGTTCTGTGTT